AGTAGCTAGAGTTTTCAATCTCAAGTTGCATGATTTGTTAGATCAAATAAAAGACAAGCACATCTTTGGGTATTGGCAGGATTGGGTTTGGACTATTGAGTACCAGAAGCGTGGACTACCACATCTACATCTTCTGCTCTTTTTAAGGCCAGACCCGGAGTTCCTGACAGCAGCCCGTATTGACCAGATCATTTCCGCAGAGCTTCCAACTGTGAATGATCCTATGGGTCAGGAGTTACGAGGTATCATCCAGCATACTATGGTGCATAGCCAGTGTGCTGGGGGAAATGGTCATGCATTGTGCATAAAAGATTTAAACCCCCTTGTTGTCTCCTCCTGTCATAAGGGTTATCCCCGTGACTTTCAGGAGGAGACAATAATACAGGCAAATGGGTATCCACTATATCGTCGGCGTGATATGGGGGAATCCTTTACTATTCCTGTTCGAGGATCGGGGGGTACAGTTATGGCTTTGATGGATAATCGTAGGATTGTGCCCTACAGCCCCTACCTGTCACTACGCTACAATGCTCATATCAATGTAGAGGTATGCGGGTCCGTACAATCTGTGAAGTATATTCACAAGTACGTTTATAAGGGGGGAGATCGAGCAACTGTCACAGTGGCCTCAGAGCATGATGAGATCAAACGCTACCTTCATGGCCGATATATCGGTCCAACTGAAGCTGTATGGCGGCTGTTCGAATTTGAAACTCATAAGGAGCAACCACCAGTGTCCCGACTTGCCGTACATTTACCTGGCCAGCAGGCGGTTTACTTCTCTGGCCTACAGAATGAGCAGGAGATCCGTCAATGTATCCAGAGTGCGTTGTCAACCCTGATGGCATTCTTTGAATACAATCAGCAGAATGAGGATGGAAGGAATTACTTGTACCAGCAGTTTCCTGAGCACTTTGTGTATGTCCGCAATGTTGGATGGAAGAAGAGGCAAAGAGGAACTGCCATTGGTCGCATGTATTCTGCATGTCCATTCATGGGTGAAAGGTATTACCTCCGCCTACTATTAACTGTTGTTCGTGGAGCTACCAGTTTTGAGCATCTGCGAACAGTTGATGGTGTGGTGTACCCTACATTTAAAGATGCCTGTATAGCATTGAGGTTACTGGAGAACGATGGTGAGTGGCAAGCCATGTTCAGTGAAGGTACGCAGTTCATGACTGGTAGGGCATTGCGACATCTGTTTGCTCTAGCCCTACAGCATACTACGATTACGGATCCTCTTGCTATTTGGCAACAGTTTGCAGATGACTTTTGTGATGATCTACCAAGGCTTCTGGAATCTGGTATAGTAGCATTACCTACTAATATTGGTAATCATGAAGGAATGCAGGATGCTCATCAGGACTATGGGTTGTACCTGATTCAACAGGATTTACATGAATATGGAAAATCTCTGTTAGATTATGGTCTACCTCAACCAGTTCTAAATTGGGTGGCTCAAAACCCTAGATCAAACAACCCTATTATGGAGGAAGAGTTAAACTATGATTTGCGAGTTGAACAGGAAGCTTATGATGTTATGAGAGCCCAGCTAAACCCTAAGCAACTAGAGTGCTTCAGGATAATAGTGAACGCGGTGGAGCAACATGAGCAGAATCCTCGTAGAAACAGCAGGTCTGGTTTCTTTCTTCAGGGGCCAGCTGGAACAGGAAAGACATTTCTCTATAACTGCTTATGCAGCTATTTTCGTGCTAGAGGAAAGATTGTTCTATGTGTTGCATCCTCTGGGATTGCAGCACAGTTGTTACCTGGAGGCCGTACAGCTCACTCAAGGTTTAAAATACCTCTGAGGAATGCATCAATCACGGGATGCAATATTACAAGCAACTCACCTCTGGCTCAGCTGATCAGAAAGACATCATTGATCATTTGGGATGAGGTACCGATGCAACATAAGTCCTGCTTTGAGGCAGTGAACTGGAGTCTGAATGATATTTGTTATGTTGATGATAGTTCACTGTTTGGTGGAGTTCCTACTGTGCTGGGTGGAGACTTTGCACAGATTCTACCAGTAGTACGACATGGGTCAAGGCAGGCAACAGTGCAAGCCTGCCTTCGTCATAGTTCCATATGGGATTATTTGCAGGTATTAAGACTTGAGACCAGCATGAGGATCGTGGCAAGTGAGACCAATCAGATCTTCATCAACTTTCTTAAAAGTCTGGTGACTGATCCTTCAATGTATGGTCAACTTTCGTTGCCAGCGTACATTCGCAAAGTAGATACAGTTGATCAACTTTGTGATCAACTGTATCCACAGGGACTGTTAAATGAAGCTATCAGCACTCATTGTTCTCTGATTGGAAGAGCAATTTTAGCTTTCCGAAATGAGACTGTGAATGATTTTAATGATATACTTCTAGACAGGTTACCTGGTACAGAACACCGCTATGAGGCAACAAATAGTGTGGAGCTCGGCGAGGATGCCGCAGTTGCTGATGCCCCAGCGGTAGAATATTTACAAAGTATTAACTTGCCATCAATTCCCCCCTCGTGCCTTCGACTTAAGATAGGAGTTCCTTTGATTCTTATCCGTAATTTAAGTCCGAAGCAGGGGATGTGTAATGGTACAAGGCTTAGGTTAGTAGGTATGAGTCAAAATTGCCTACAAGTCACCATTCTTGGTGGCAAGTGGGATGGGGAAACTAGGCTTCTACCGCGAATCAAGCTAACTACAACGGACGAAGATCTGCCGTTCATATTAGAGCGTAAGCAGTTTCCAGTTCGGCTTTGCTTCGCGATGACAGTTAACAAATCACAAGGTCAATCATTAGAGCATGTTGGTGTTGATTTGCGCTCTGGCGCTTTCACACATGGACAACTCTATGTTGCCCTATCACGAGTAACTTCGCTAGATGGCCTCACACTACTGCCATCTAGCAATACTCCTACTGTTACAGAAAATATAGTATATCCTGAGGTCCTACTTAATAGTGACTAAGGATTATATACTGGCCATTTGGATTATCAGGCCAGGTTGACTCTCATATTCTAGCAATGTGATTCATACTTAACCGAGGAACTGAGTCCAGTACAGCTTGCTGTTAGTGGTACATTTATATTTCATATTATTAATTGCTTTTTAATCTTTGTATATAAAATAATCTTCTGAAAAATATATAATCGTATGATTAAATATACCCTGCATGTCCCATTATACTAAGTAAATTAGTTCTGCAGGGTAAGGTTAACTGCCCAATTTCCATTCCGTTATACCATAGTAAACATCTGTCTTCAGTGAAGTCAACTGAACTTTTGATATACAGAACAAAGCTATCCACAAGATTTTATTCCGTCAAGTTAAAGGAATACATGTACCCAATATAATATTTAATTTATAGCCATTTCTGACTATTTAATTATATGATATTGTCCTTTTAAAAATCATGATCATGATTCTTATATATCCAATTGAGGAAAAGTTAGCTTAGTAAACTTAACCATTATCTATAGTCACAAGCTAACCAAGCCTACATACAGAATTAGGTTTATACCACAACAACAAATAATAGAACCATGTCTTTTAATATAAAGTTCAACTATAAAAGCTGTAATAAATTTATAAAAAGAAATTGTATGGATACATCCTCAAGGTCTTGAGGAGGGCAGCTAGTTTCCCGTACCATCCAACGTACTATACGTTAATTCGTGGTAATACCGTATACCATACTCGCATGGGTAGGATCGTCAATAGTAAGAGTGAGAATCCGGTACTGTACAGTACAGTACATCCCCCGCACAGCCGAATGGGTAACCTCACGTGATAACCCATTTCCCAAATGGCCGTCCTATGGACCATGAGATACCAGTAAGTGTACTCGTAGGAGCCCAGCACCGAACAATTTCTTCCTCCACGGTATGAAAATCGAACAAAAAAAATCAATCAATCGCACTGTACTACATACGCTGGCGATTAAACCACAACAATAATACGTTATGAAAGCACCCTGCGGTAGGTTTTCGGAAGGTAGACTATGATGGTGCGTGGATACGATATAGAGCATTATATTATACCCCAGGGATAAAGCTTAGTGTATGTAGCAGACAGGTTCTCTAAAACCGGGCGTCATCAATACTTTCCGAATGGGTGAGAGAATCAGTACCTTGTGATACCGTATACCATAGAGTCCCCCCCTCCTGTCCGCGAGGAGCACCTGCCTGCGTGTCTGCCGGTAACTCCAACTCTTTATGGTCGGGAAACGAAGATCTCCAAGTTTCGGATTGGCACGATGCAAAGATTTCCCCCGCCCAATCCTTAAATAGACGTCAGGGACAACTGCGTGTCATACCCGTCACCCCTAGCACATCCGGCGTTTCACGGAATCTCACTCGAGTAACTCATCCTCTTTTATTATTATTTTCATTTTATACGGTACCCAGCTGCCGAGTAACTGAGACATGATCGCCCCTGCCTCGGCTCGTGGGCAGGCGCCAACCCCACTTCGGGCCGAGTATGCGGCTCTTCCTTAGCTTGACTTGACTTCGTCCGAACTTTTAGACTACACTTCTCTGCCTCCAATCATCCAGCACAACGAAGCAGAATGCCTCCCCGCCTCCACCCCCGCGCTTTCAGTGCTCGCTTACACCCCCACCCGCTCACAATCCGCCCGCTAGCCACCGCGAGCGCAGCGTTTCCCCCGCCCCTCCCTCCAACCGAAGACTTCATTTCCCCAACCCCGACCCACCTCCTGGACATTGCGCTATCACCCTACCTAAATACTGCTCTCCACTCCGTCCTCCCCAAATCACCCAAGCCCCTGCCGCCGGGCCACCACCTAGTCTACTTCCCCCCGCCAATCCCAGAATCCCAGCTGCTAGGGGATGGCAGCGACGCGCAGCACTCTCCGACACCCCTCCTCCCGCGGCGAATGTGGGCGGGCGGTAGCCTCATCTTCAACTCCCCCGTTGAAACCTACACACACGCACTCCTCCGGGAAGAGATCACGAACGTGGTCGATAAGAACGGAAAGACCTTCGTTTCCTTTGACCGACACATCTATCCTGCCAGTCGTTCCGATGTTGCCGCAATAGTGGAGAAAAGGGACCTGGTCTTCCTCCCCCCCGCCACCTCCCCGCCCCCGCCCCGCCGTCGCAATCGCCCCCCCGGAGAGCCGCACTTTTCCCGCGAGTTTGCGACAACCGAACATCTGCTCTTCCGCTTCTCCGCGCTCATGTACAATGCGCATCGGATACACTTTGATCCTGTATTTGCGGCCAGCGTGGAGTCCCATGCAGGCCCGCTGGTGCACGGGCCCTTGTCGGTTGTTTTCTTGCTCGAGTTGCTTAGGGCTGAGCGAGAGGGGAGAATCAAGGGGTTTGTGTATAGGTGTTTGGCCCCCGTGGTAGTTGGGGAGGTGAGTTCTGATCCTCTAGATTGGGCGGATAGCAAATGTGTGTATGTATGGCTAATGTGAATGGGGGGGGTAGGTGTATAAAATCTGTGGCAAGTTGAAGAGCAAAGGGGAGGTCGAGGGGCGGGTGGAAGCGGTGTATTCGTTATGGGCCGAAACAAAGAGTGGGTATGCCGTTATAGGGACCGCGACTGTTGTGGAGGAGTGAACTGGCGGCCGGCAGAGTGCTATCATAGTACAGTACAGTACAGCGCAGCTCGGTAGAACAAAGCCAAGGCACGGTAAACCATCATGGCCGTCAGCAGGTTCAGGAAGAACAGGGTCGGCTGGTCGTGATGAACCCATTACCCTGATACTGATATCATGTCCTGGAAATCATCGCCCAGCCATTATATGAAGCCGTTGAAAGCACATCACACCGCCGCCGTCTCAAATTGGGTGTAAAAATTGTCTATTAACGATTGAACTACCGTTCCCATCTATCGAATATCGGCACCCTTTTTTCTTTTCACCAACCTCACCCCCGCCATCACCACCCCACTTCCAACTTCCCCCACAGCTCTCCACTTCTCTCGCCCTCACACCAGCAAAAATTCCGAGACCCAACCACTCCAACTCATCCCCACACGATACCTTCACCAACCCCCCTCTCCTTCCCTCCTTCAAGTATGTTACAAGACGCCCATCATTACCTATACATTCCTCCATCCCTCCATCCCAACAAACCCCAACCCACGCCCCCTAAAAACCCCCAGAAAGCTATATACCAAGGGTAAAAAGAAAAAGGTATATACTCGAAATATAACACAAAGCAAGTCAGGGGAAAGAAATGATCGTCTTGTAAAGGTAAAGAAAGAAACTGAAGGAAAGGCTATGCTGGATATGAAATGCACCAATAAAGGAATGCCAACTGATCTTTCCAGAAGAAATAGTTTTGAGGGGAAATTTTATGTGAAACTAACAGGGGGAGAAAAGGGGCAGAAAGGGTATTTGCAATGGTAAAAATAATTACCGAGCAGTGTCCAAATCAAATGTAAACGTGTGTAAGGGAGAAAGCAGAAGAGTAGGGAGAAAGAAAAGAAGTAAAAGCGCAGAAAATCAACCATTTGACCGACCGAACCCCGTACCCGGAAAATCAAACCAGACAAATGCCGTGAAAAGACAAACATTCCATAAAGGAAGCCAGTCCGCCCAGATGAAAACCAGTAGGCTCCGGAACGGTACCGAAGAAAACGAAATGGCCCCCGTAACCCAAAATGCAAGACACCCAGAAGCGCACCCAACAAATCGCCAAAACAGATACAAGCAGAACAGTGAGATATATAGTGACAACAGTGGGAGAAAAGGATTCTTCGACACATAACGTACCACCATAGACTCCTGCCTCCACCGGTCGCAAGCCACATGGGAACAAAAAAACAAACAAAAGAAAGTGCAGCCCCCCAACGAGAAAGTAATTTAGCAAAAAAAAAAAAAACCAAACCTGAAAACCCCACCATGAGAAAGAAACTGAGATATTCCAAGGCTACATATATACTTCATCCCCTAAGGGTCAGAAAAAAAGCAGAGTAGTAAAAAAGAGAAAAAATACCGGGACGATAGCAGGGTAGAAAAGGACAGACACCGAAATCGAAGGAAATTTTGTGATGCACAATCAAATCAAAACACCACCGCCCAAGGCAGCGTTTGAAGCATAGGCACCCAAGTTTAGGACCCTCCTCAGGTCATTCTCCATTTCAGCAACGCTTTTTGACGGTGTAACAGGGCCTCCAGCAGTCTCAAGCTTGGATGCGAGTGCTGACTTTTTGGGTTGTGAATTCCTTTGGTGTGGACCAAGGTTCAAAGGGGCATCACGGTGAAAAGGCGACGCCCTCAGGGTAAGCGGAGACTGCGGGGGTCCAGCATGTCGTACCATCGAGTCGAGCAAATTGTTGACAGAAGCTCGAGGAATCCTATCGGGAGAATAGCTTGGAGCTCCAACAAACCCTTGATCTGGGCCGACTCGATTGCTCCGGGCCGGAGTTAGAGGCGGTCTCGCATCCAAGTGCGACTCTTGGGATCCCGGGGCAGGTGGGGAAGGTTCTTCGTGCTTCGGTGAGGCCGACGGAGACAAGAGGCGAGATTTCAAGAGATTAGCCGTATGTTTGAGATCATCCTCCCTAGATAGAGCAAAAACAGTCTGAACTTGCGATGGAACCGGCGATGTACGGTTGGGCGGCGAGGGGTGAGTATGATCGAACAAGCGGGTCGGAACAGGCGGAGTCGGCTTGTCAACATCAATTGAGAAGATTCCGTCCGCTGGCCTAGGAGCACGCGGGGCAGATCGGGCCGTTTCGAAAACACTAAGCACCCAGTAAGCCATTGTCCCTGACTGTCAATGAGAAATGCACCCGACCCATTGCCATTGAACTCGGAACGTTCAAAAGGTGTTCCAAGGGAGCCCTCAGTGGATGAACTTGACCCAGAGCTTTGACGCTTCATTTTCATGCGCTCCTTTTCTTCCTTATCGGCCCTGAACAATCTCTGAAGATGCGATTCCTCGGTCTGCTCGGCAGAGGAGGAAGTTGAATTGTCCTCCGAATCTTCACTCTCCATCATCGCTCGCAAACCATTCCCCGCAGGAGTAGCTGGTACGGACCTAGAGAAGAACTTGGGAACAGGAAGTGCGGAAGGGTTCGGAGACGAGTGGAACAAAGGACCGGCATATGCTTTCATGGGGGTGTTTGAAAGCTTTGGGGGAGTCATTTGGCCGGAAGGAACGGGTTCGGTAATGTTTGCAGGCTGGGCTTTGACAAACTCGTTGGTACCGGCAGTGGAGGAAGGAAGGGGAACAGATTTCGTAGTTGGCACACTATCCTTTTGTCCACCCCTCGTCTTCTTCTTCTTCTTCTTGCTTGAAGTCTCCGTGCCCGGACTAAATCCTCGGGTTTTTGGTGTTTGGGGTGGTGTCAGAACAGCGCCAGAGCGAGCAACAGAGCTATTGTGGTGATGGTGGTGGTGGTGACCGTTAAATGAAATCAAATGTGTGCTAACGGGAATCTGATAGCCCTGGTTGACAGTATGATAGTTTCTAGGGCCAAAAGTCGGTAACGATGAGCTACTTTTAGTATGACGATGATGTCTCCCAGGACGAGGTTTGGGTGACGGAGAACCGTTCGTAGCCGTCATTGTAATTTTTTTCCTCCGAGGCAAAAAAAATAATATCGCCAACAATATTAATTCGGGCGAATAGGTCCGAAAACAAGGTAGAAACCCAAACGCAAACAACGCCTAAAGAGACAAAGGGGAAGCTGTCGCGAATTCAGCCAAGAAAACAGAACCGCAGGACGCCTAACAGAAAAATTGAAGCGGTGAGCCTTTTTTTTTTTCAACTCTCGCAAGCGAAGAGGTAACAGGGTGCTATGAAAGTTTTTGCCCCTTTGATGTCGCAAGGCAGGAACAAGTAAGCGCGGTGGATGGAGGAGGTACGATTATTTGAAAGGTTTGATGAAAAATCTCGAGTTTGTTTGTGTGATTGTTTGTGGGTTGTATTCGTGATTTCGAAAAGGAAACAAAACGGACGGTCGGTTAACTAACGATAAAATAGGGTGGAGAGTCAATCGAAGGAGAAAAAAACAATAATAATACTAGAATGTATTGACTGAACAGGATCGGTAAGAAAGATGAGAGGGAGAAAGAGTTGATGGAAGTATGATCATTCTCGGAAGAGTGAGGTTTGGTGAGGAGGGTGGGTAGGATGAAAGTAAGAGGAGGGAAAAGGAAGAGAGAGGGCCAGGTTGTCGGGGGGAAGCGAGTTTTGAGGGATGGCCAGTGGGAGATGAATTTACTGCCGGGGGGTGGGAATGGATGGAAGTGGTGGGGATGGAATAGGATTGGGCAAATTCCATGGATTGGGTGGCTCGGCGGCCAGCAAGCAAAGCTGCCACACACTGTGTCCTGTACGGTACAGACACGAGCTTGACATGGGTGGGGAACGAGCAGAAAATGATGTGTGGAAGGGAAGATGTGACGCTCCGAGGTGGGTGCTTTATGTGCTTTATGTGCCTAATCCGGGATGTTATGCCTATTTTTTTTTTTGGTCCAACTGTGTAACGGCTGTGGTACAGTGTAAACCAGTAAGATTTCTAGCCTTCTCTGGGTCCATCACATCACGGAAGGCGAAATTGTGGAATGGATTCAGGCTCCGGATCAGAAGAGACCATAACTCAAAGAGACCATAACTCACACGGTGCCGCTATCATACGGTACAGCCCAGTCCGCAAAGTCTTAGCGGATGGAAAGGTATCATACCGTCCCAAGGTCTTGGCGGCAACAGAAGTACTCGTACAAGGCATTGGAAAATATCTCCAGTTCAAATCATGCCATCAACTTGAAATCGTTGTATCATAGAAAAATTCACTTGCGCTTCTCACAGCACGGTGGCCCCCCGGAGAGTGACTAGCAAGGGGTGTTAAATTTATTGTTATCGAACCCAAAATTTGGATCTCTGTGCTTCAAGACGTACACCACGATTTTGGGTACTTTTCATTCAATAATGGGGCTTCATCCAAGACCATTAAAAATTTTAAAAAAACCACTACATGAAAAAGCCAATAGCTGCAATGAGTATAGTGGTTTTTTTTTAAACCCAGGCAATCTTTTTTCTTAAAATGTCCATTTAGCTTTGAAATAAGCAATTTTTGGTAAGAGTTGAAAAAAATGTTACATCAGCTACACCTATTGATACTCTAATAATTGCTCTATCATGACTAATTAGTATTTTGAGTTTGAATTCAAATGTACCCTACACCCTATATGAAATATCATACAATTAAATAACTGATAGCTTTATATTTAACTTGTATAATTAAAATCTAATATCTTTATTCTAACATATCATATCTTAATACCCTGTTGTTAGACCCTAAGATTGGTAGTATGGAAGCTGAGTAAGATTCCCTTACCAAAAAAAATATAGCACAGCCACGTAACATTTTCTCACAAGCCTCGTGTATGTTTTAAAGTGCAGGAACCATACGTACTGGCACTTTCGTTGACGCCAAGACCTCGAAATGGTATCATACTCTTCCCCCGCGAAGAACTTTGCGGATGGGGCTGTATCGAGTACGGTATATGCAGATGGTGCCACTGTAGGGCCCGATCCACAGAATAACGAACGAGGGCAAAAAAAAAAAAAGAGGCGATGCGGGCCTGCAAGATGAGAAAAAAAATGGCGAAATGGGAAGATCCAGCCCCGTCTCTGGGCTATTGGGCTCATTTTCCAGAGGCGTGCGACCGTGGGAGATCTTAGGACAGCGATGGTGCGGTGGAAAATAGATGGAAGGACGGCCTGCGAAGACAGCCAATAACTTACCGGTAATGTTAGAGGTGACAACCCCTCCAATCCCCCCCTTGGCCCAATTCTGATCATCTGAAGATCCCCGACTGCACATCTACCCTTATTCGAGTCAAGTGAATATTTCCCCTGCTCGTACAGTACCAGACAAGCAGTTGAATGCCAATACGGTACCTCCGGTATTTGGGAACACCATGCAAAGGACCATGCTCGCTCCCGCGCCCTGATGGGTTGAGTTGCCACAGTCCAACAGTCAGAAACTGCGGGTAAAAGTAGAAAGGGATGCACCGGTATAAACTTTGCTGATACACAGACGCAACTCTCCAGTCAGCGCCGGAACTTCCATGCAGCTCCCCCTCCCCCCACTGCTTAGAGAGATACAGTAACATTTAGTATCGTTTAGGAGGTAGCCCTATTTATGCGACGCTTAGATTGCTCAAGCGATACAGTACTGTCGTACCATGCTGCAAACCGTCGTATCATGGGACGACGAAATCCCGTACCGAATGGGACCGGTTTCCGATGGGAGTTGCGCTGCGGAGCCATATACCTGTATATTGAGTGACCTAATGCATCATCGTACGCGCAACCTGGGGGCCTTTTTTTTTGGCGCACCCTATTGTCGTAAGACGCTTACCCAGTCGTAGGTACCGTATAATGCCGTACGGGTGTCATACGCGGGGGATTCGACATGAATTTTATCCGTGCAATCATGCTCCGCAGGACCAGTGCTAGCACAAGTAGACCAGGCATCTACTGTATCAGACAAATATCACACCCGTAGATTAACCTTAGGCCCCAGGAACCCTCACAGCTCATCAAGGGGCAAGCCCTCACCCTATCGCTCCCCCGGGGGGGATGCACAAGGTAGAAGTTGCCTGATTTGTGAGGGGCAGGATCACTGTGCCGTGGCCATGTCGCAGGCGGGCTCGCGGGCGATAAGTTTTTGGGTCATACGGTACGATGGATTTTTGCCTCTCCTGCAGAAGAATAACCTGTCTCCATATAACTTTAACTTACCTCTGCCACCGGTATTATATCACTAGGAGACAAGTACCGGTACCGGTACCGTACTCGAGTACTATTATGTGCTTTCCCAGCCTGCCGAAGCAAACTGTAGATTGACGAGCACCGAGTCACGGTAAGATCCGCCTTCATTTAGCGATCATGAGTGCTGTAATTGGTTGGTATTGTGTTCTCACCATCCAGGGAGGGAAGGACATAAATTTACCAGTAATTCATCCTTCTCTGCACAAGGGAAAAAAATCTCTTTCCGACAACCAACAGCCCACCTGAACAAGAAAAGATGAACATGAGAAGAAGAAGAAGAAGAAGAAAAGAGAGAGAGGGAGAGGGAGCGAGGGAGATTACCGGTCCTGTATCGCGCTGGTATTGGGCAACAGGAAACTTTGTTGGGGTGAGACTGGTGCCGGCAGACTACCGTACCGGTAGCCACCCCGATGTGTTACGACCTTCCTCCCACGGTCAACTGACTCACAGGCTTACAACTCCACAGAGCCGCTTCTCAGGTGTCAAAAAAATAATCTCAGGTTTCCATCCTCATCTCAATCTCTTTGTTCCCATGTTTCAACACCACTGACATCGCCACCTCTAACCCATCTCACTCAGATATTCTACCGTATATATTACCTGTCTGAGTCTTTGGAGGCGCTATGCCAAAGCTCTTTTTGCCTCCCCGCAAGATAAGCGAGCCATCAAACACCTCCGTCGCATCTTCCACGCCCGTCCACTCTCGCGCTGGTCCCTCTCTTAACGTGTCATCGTCGCCGTCCCCTACTGATGTTCCCGTGGCGAATCCGAATACCCATATACCCCCGCTTCCAACACTGAACACTGGAACCGCCGCACCGACTCCAGTCCTTTCACTATCTCCACTGTTTATAGATGGGAACTCTCACGGCAAGGCTATTACCCCCCCGACTCTCTCGAGGCCTTCTAGCTCGAATCGAAGGAAAGGCCCTCCTAGGATTGTGGCATGTGGTGCGTATTCGTTCTATCCTGATCCCATACTCCCATATTTTGTCGTTGCAAGCACCCCAACTAACGAATTCATCTAGTCTCCTGTCATAAACAGAAGAAGAAATGTGGAGGGGAACGACCTTGTACACGCTGCCTGGTGCTCGGGGCAGTCTGCGTAGAACAGGAAAGGCCTAGTGATGGATTTCAGTACATTCGAAAGAAGAAGAAGTTGAGGAGCGAGAGGGCCCTGGATCCACTACCCCAGCTTCCCGTTCACCCTGTGAACCATCCCGCCCCCTTCCCTGGCAGCCTGTGGGCCGCCATGGCCCAGCAAGCAAGTTATGATAGCCCGGTTTACCAGAACCAGCTTCCGTCGCCTTCGCCGTCGTTAACAATGGTGGGTACACCTAGCGACTCTCCATCCGAGCGTGATCTTTCTTACCAAGGATCAGGTCCTGGCGGAAATGGTGAACGCCGTGACCGAAGCCCGCGAGTGGCCAGTGGGGACGTGACGCAATGCTGTGGTGACGAATCGACTCCAACACAAACCCCAGTCTCGATTGTAGCACCGCCTTCCCCATCCCCCGAGCCAGACTCAGTTGCTAATCAGCTGACTTCACACACTATTTCTGACTATTTCGACACTGCCCTGGAACTGGTACCAGGTCCATCTGATCCCGACCTCAGCCCCCTCACTGACTTGGAGGCCGACCTTGAATTGGACCTTGAGTTGTTTGGGTCCCCCGAAAATGAGGGTTCTTCACCGGATGGTTGCAACGCTGTTGATACCCCAATTCTTAGCGAGCAGGCTGAGAGTACAGCTCAGTTGGGCAAAGGTGGGGGTGAGACTACCCCTAGCGCTGGATTCTCTGAATTAGAGTGGGAAGCATGGAACACGAAATATCCTTCCGCCGACGTGGCCCCTTCTTCTCCGTCCTTTCTCGATCTCGACGGTGGGTTCGATTTCCTCGAGCCACCACCTCCTGGCTCGCCTGCACCAATGACTCCTGTCCGTAAGCACACCCCGCAATTGCAACTGGAAGGTACCACCATCGCAAATACCACCTAGCGGCCAACACTCGAGAGGGAGGAAGACGGATAAAGTGAGGGAACTGCTTGATAGGGGTTTGTATTCCTGAATGTTATACGATCAAAGAAGGTTAATACGTAGCCTGGGGTGGGGAGGGGTGTTTATTTTTCTAGATGTTTCAGCTACACACTTGGTATGGTATGTCAAAGGTCGGGAAAGGCAGGGGAGATAGAGTGGGTTGAGTGGTTAAGCTAGTCTTTCCTTGCCGTCTTCGTCTTTCGCGGCAAACCGACGCTGTGGGATGAGTAGCGGAGCATGATCACCAATCAGGTACAGTAGTCATAGCCAGCACAACAAAATTTCCCTGCCCTAAGGTAATGGGGTGAGTTAGACTGTAATCGTTATGCAAGTGTCGAACAAAAGTTTGTCTATTCCGTGAAAGTAACTTGCATTCATTTCATCGCCGCCGGTGCGTATTGAACCTCTCTTTCTGTTGACTTTTCCTTTCTTCCTTCCTTCCTTCCTTCCTTCCTTCCTTCTCATTTTTGCCCTCTTTTCGTTTTCTACACACCTACCGATTGATCTCGTGCTACCTTTCTTATCCCCCTCACCTCACGGACAGGGCTTTCGGAATGGCTCCATAGCCGATCGGTCATCGTCTACAGCACAGTGCAGCAGACTACCATGTGAGTGAGTACAAGGGGGTTGCAAGCGGAGAGGAGAGGACAGCATGGCATTACGGTAGATCCTGTATGATGGTCATGCGGGCCAAGCAATGGAACTCGCGATGGGCCTAAGGAGGATATTGACAGATATGAGGAGATTTAAGGCGAAACGAAATGAACAAGAAAAAGAAAGAAAAAAGCACAAAAGCCGAGGACGACGAGAAGAGAAACACAAGAGGGGAAAAGGAAAAAGGAAAAAAAACAAAGAAAAGAAAGAATCAAAAAAGACCTCAGGGCTTTAAACCGTAGTTAAAATACTTAAAACCGCCCAAGTTTTATATCATACATTCAAGAATCTATCTAATCGCTGTCCTGCGTTGCCCCATAAACCAACCAAAGCAAACAAATATCATAAGCAAATTAGAAAAAAAGATACTACAAGTGCTAGAGGGGGGGGGGTCTCCGTGTTTCATGCAACCTTATCCGATCATTCCGCTCTTGCGGCCGGAGCTTCAGGAGGAGGGGAAGGAGCGGCGGAAAACATCCGCCTCCAGATGGCCGGGGGGTCCAACGGTCTCGAGCCATTGCGTATTCGCGGGTATATGTCCGAGAAGAAGTAGTAGACTGATCATGGCCACGCATATGTAGTATTAGCAAAGCAAACAGACAAGCAAACAAACGATCGACCATCCATCCACCCTTCCAAGCCGCACCCGTAGACGATACGATACGATACGATAGGAGTGAGAACGTACCATGCCCAACCACGATCCCCAACAGGTCATCCTTGGGAAGGGTATTATTCAACAGCAGCGAGAATCCCAAGAGTACCCAGGGCAGGTAAGGAGCGCTGAAGACGAACAATCCTAAGAACGACAACCTAACAGCGGGATTCCGACGAGCCCATATGTAAACCAGCGAGAAGCTCAAGGGCGATCCGAGGAAGGGCATAGAAGCGATAGGCGACAATACCTACAACAATTTTTCCCCACCACATCAGCTCCACCACCTCTCTCCCTCTCCCTCTCCCTCTCCCTCTCTCCTCACCACCTATGATACCCGAAAGGTAAGAAAGCAAGAAAGAAAGAAAGACCCCACCAACAACGAGACAGCAGAGTACACAATCAACCACGCGAAGTCCGCCGTCCTCCCGCGGAAACTGCTCTCCTCCAGGTTTCGCGAGTACCGACTCATGAAGAAGATGTGGAACATAAAGTCCAGACTCAGCGGGCCAAAGTATAGGAATGTGGTGCCGAGACGCCAGTACTGTCCCTTCTGCCAGACGCTCGCGGGGCTGTAGAAGAGTTGGAAGGGCGTTATTATTTGGCATTGGACCAGCACGCTTGTCAGCACCGCTGATGTCGTCCACACGCGCGTCACGATGGGGACGTCGTAGTACCATTGTTCGAGGGTGTTTAGTTCGGCCATTGTTGCTGTTGTTGTTATTTGGGTGGGGGGGGAAGAGAAGGTTTGTGATATGATAGATGGATGGATGGATGGATAGATACAGCGGCAGAACATGGATGGGCTTTGGGTGACGTTGCTGTTTTGTGTGGCTGGTGTGTACTTGGCCATTTATAAAGTATTCGGACGCTTTGCACCAACACAGGTGCTAATAATGCCCAAGGCGTCCGAATACTTTATAAATGGCCAAGTATGTGTGTGTGTGGCGGTTGTGCTTGGATTGTTCCGCTCGCTTGTGCTCGGGTATGATACGGTAGTCTAGCCTTCTTAACCGATTAGTGATAAGACGTGTCGTTGGGGGTTTCGTGCGTCGGGACAGGTGTTTCCCGCTGGCCCCTCCTCTGGTCCGTTGGAGGCCTGAGGCTTGGTTCTTCATATCATAATATGATACTTGTTTATCTGCTCGCCCACCCCGAAAGGGCAGCCCGGGCATCACGACTGAGAGACCAGCACAGTGAGTCAATGGGCTTTATTCGGAATGGGAACGGTTGTTTAGGTTTATAAACGCGGAGACTAGATCGGCCACCAACTTGTGGTGCCATACTTCCCTCTTCCCCTGCTCTGATACCCTTCGAGTAAATCTGGACCATCACATACTATCACTCGCAGCTCAGCTTCTCGATACCAACTAACTTTAACCAGCCATTATAATCTCCAAGACGTCTCATTCGGGAACCAACAACCGGAACAGAAGTTTAAAGGTTTTTTTTTTTTTTAGCAGGAAAGGAAAACAGAAAAGACAAAAAAGGAGACCAACTTAAGGAGAAACTAATGTACAGGTATCACAACCAACCCTCGTTTTCCATACCATCCCACCGATATATTTCTCCTGTATGATACCATGTCCTACTTCCCCGACATCGCCACCAGCCCTACCTATCTATTCGTCCACCCACAGACTCGCCCGTCCCTACCCCCGACCCCTAGAGAAACCCAACCGCAGCTCTCTCACACATACCCACAACGCATATACAACGAGAAGGCCGTAGGGAGCATTACCCATTGCAACAAGCAGCGGACGTAAACGCGGGGGAAAAAAAGGGAAAAACAGAGTGAAATGCAAATCCAGATCTGGCAAAGATATGGTGGTGGGGCTACCGGGGCAGAGAAATGGGAAATAGGAAAGTGTAATAAGAGGAAAGAAAAGAAAAGAATAGAAAAGAAAAAAAGAGACTATATTACTTTTCCCGAGGCTTCATTTCATACTTCATATATGCACCTCCCGCTTCACTTTAACTCTGGGCCCACCAGAGTCTCCCTATTGAACTGGTCAGCACCGCCGCATGTACGGAAGGTATTGATGGACGGGACATACCTCGGCCTTCCTTTTCCCCCCGGGCCCGCCGTCCGGCGGGGTTGCTCCACGGCTTAGGTTCCCAGCGGCGGTATCCTTGCTAGCCTCCGCATGGCAGCTGGCATGGTAGATCCTGGCGCCGACCTGCTTCGCGTCCATGAAGACAAATTCCTCGCTCTCATCGTGCCACTCGTACTTCAGTTCCTCTTGGCAGATGGGACATACAGCACGGGTCTTGGATGGGTCGGAGATGATGACGTATTGGTCCTTAGGATCTGGGTTGTTCGAGGACGAGTTTGGGTCGGAGGAAGATGATGAGACACCGGTGGTGTTATTGCCGCTGCTGGAGTGGCTGTTTGGGTTGGGTGCCAGAGAGGAGGAGTCCTCGCCGTCATCGCGCGATTTGATCCATTCCTTTATCACGAGGGTCGTATGTTAGTGAGGGGGGAAGGTCCTCTAATTTGTGATTTTGGCTTTCACGGTTGGATAGAAAGAGCATGTATGTGTATGCGTATGTGTCTTTGATATTGAAATTTGATATTTGAAATGGCTGCGTGAGGGGGTATATTGCGTCGGGTTTCGGGTTCGGGGGGTCATTTACCTCTTCTCCAAGATACCAACTCCTATTCTGACCGCGCTTCACGCTCTCCGCCATCCGCTGGTGCACGCGGAAATGCCAGTCGAGATGTGAGGCCTTCTCTTTTTTTCCCGCTTCCGAGTCGGCAAATCTTCGCGCACATGAACTACACTGGTTCGGGAGTGCCTCGTTGAGTAAAGGTAAGAGGTGCGGCCGTGGTCTATAATCACATTGTAACAAATAAAATATTCACAATCAATCAGCATGCTTCTTTTCTACGAAGTATATCTCTTTATCTCAAAGAGTAATAATAATATATATGTGGCGACCCGCAATCCTTAAAAAGCAAAGAGTGAGAGAGGGAAAGGAGGGAAAGGAGAGCGTGTATAAAAGCAATATTGGGGGGACTACATTTTAAGGGACATAGTGTTCATTTCTACGTCTATTGAGCGCCAATCAATTTTACCTTGCCGCATTGGGATCTGCGGGGGAATTGGAGGAGGTGGTGGTGTAAAACTACTTCCCGGTAGTGGGAACAAGAATGGAGGCAGCCCAGTGGGAGGCGGCGGAGGAGGAGGTGGTGGTGGAATGTTAGCAGACAGTCCTGGGAGCAAACCTGCTTTCTGTAATGAAGCAAATAGAGAAGCTGCATCGCCAGGGGGCGTAAACAAATTGGGTAGAGCTGAGGGTAGCAACGTTTGCGGAGCCGGAGGAGGTGGCGGCGGTGGCGGCGGAGGAGGGATGGGAGGGGGAACAACTAAAGGCTGATTTTGGGTGGCAGTCGCCAACAACGCCGCGAGGTCCTGCTTCGAGAATGGCAGCTGTATTGCCGGTGGAGGCGGAGGAGGCGGAGGCGGAGGGGGGGCTATAGCCATAGCGGGGGGAGGGGTCGGGTTAGCTAACCTCGTCACCTGTTCTCTGACCAACGCAAGTTGAGCCGGGGGAAGCTGTTGCGTCTGTAAAATAGCCTTCAAGTCAAGCAAAGCTTTTAACCTTTTCTGTATCTCTTGATTAAGTGGATCCTCTGCAAACCTCTTCTGCGAAACCTCAATAAGACCAGATATATCGCCGAGAAGAGTATCAACACTTGAATACCCAGTCGAATGAGCAGGGGGCTGCTGCGAAAACGGTGCCGACATGCCCGTAGGATTTGCCGGGGCGGATTGGCTCAGCACGGCCTGAAGTATATGAGCATATGGGCGAACCATGGGATCTTCTCTCCTGTAACCAACCGTATTTCTGCCATAGACGCCTTGGCCATTGTTCCCGTAGTCATAGCCTTGCCCGTTCATATATTGCGAAGGGCCATTGGCCACGGGCGGTGGTGTGTTCTTGTATTGTGGATGTAGTTGTGGTGGCGGCGGCGGCGGTGTAACAATAGATCTATTGTAAGCTTTTGGATCCTGGCTCTGTTGCTTCATCTGCTTCTGTTGATGTTGGAGAGCAGCAGTTCTGGCTTTAATAAGAGCATTGTCTATTTTGCGTGTTACCTCTGAAGAAAACACAGGATTGCTTGATGAAGAATTGGGGACGGGCTGCTTCCATGTGTGAAGCATCTCCTCCAACTTCCGTCGCACAGAAGGCTCAACCTTTGAGTAGGCATTCATAAACGTCGAGTAGAGATCCCGCTGGAAGAAAAGTGTGTAAGGTGTTCCAACATTTTTAGCAACCGAGTCTAGCAAGTACAGCGCGGGGAGTTTCCTGTTAGGCGAGGTCTATAGGGATTAGCAACTGTTCGAGTAGTCATGATACGGTCATGCGCCTGCAAACTTCTCCTGGCTGGGATTTTCTCTCCGCCTCTCTCTAGTGGATTCCAAAAGATACATGTGATTACCAACCAAAATCCAGGAAATTCGATGCGTAAACGTGAGGGTGAAGGCGATTACACAGGATATATATAGATATACCGGAAACAAAAAGGAATCGGGGGCGCTTACTTTGGCAATGTGTTCTTCGATGGTTCTGGCTATTGCTTGCGCGGCATGTATATTTTCTTTCGCGATAACCGTCAAATTGCTGATCTCATACCTTGAGTTGAAGGCTAAATCCTCCAGAGAGGATCTATAATCCTCGGCTATCTCCTCTGAAGAAAGTTGTGTTGAGGACATGATGGCGATGAAAGTGGGAAGCGGGGGGGGGGGGGGGCTGTAGAAGCGAGGTGTCGGGAGAAGGATAGAGAGTAGATGGGAGGAGGGGGAGGGGAGAAAAGAGGGTGTGCCGAGCGGAAGAATGCGAGTAAAACGTAAGCACGATAACAAAAAACTTTTCGCTCTTGTCTTCTCTGTGAACTCCTTTTCTAGGCTTCAGGGCAAAGTTTTGTGTGTGCGTGTGCAAATCTCTAGCTATTTTCTCACGACAAGAAAAGAAGAAAAAAAGAGAGACGACGATAAGAAGGCTCCCACGAATAAAAAGAAAAAAGAAGAAGACCCTCTGTGTCCTGTTTTCTTTTTCCCTTCCACCTCTTTTCCGCGGTAATAGAAGGGAGGCACCCCGTCAACACGATGAGGTTCCGCTCTCTCTTGTATTCTTTTTTCGCTCCCTTTTTCTCTTCCACTGGACAACGTTCCCTTCCTTTCTGCTGTTTTCTCCGATATTCTATGTGTTTAGTTTCCAAATGGATGAGTGTCGGAGGCGGTGGCGGTGACTTCAGTGAGTGCTGTGAGGAAAGTTTGAGGGGAAGTGAAGTGTTGTTGATGGGAGGGAAGGCGGCGGATAGATGAGTTGAGAGAGGAGGTTGGATGGAGGTGTGTTAGGAGCGTTGGCGTGAGTCGATTGATCTTCTGCCGCGTGATTGGACGGGGGCGCGACAAACACATCCGGTAGGGGTAAAGAGGGTGGAGGAGAGATCAGATAAGATACGGCACCGTAGCGATTCTTGACACAGCCTCGTATCGCAACCTGACTATGATACAAGTATTTGTGAAATATTTGACTGTCTGAAAATGGGCTCACACGCGGTCACGGAAACTCTTGTTTATCGACTCGAAAGGCGGGAACTTGCGGTCCGAGTGATACTGTGAAGCTAAACGGGCAAGGCCTCGACTCAGCCCATATACAAGGATCCGGCTTAACATTTGCATTTCAGGCCAAATCAATTGAACTCAATACCCGTACCATACCAGCACAGGATATCACCATAGCATAATAAAGGTATTGGACGGAGACCGGTGATAGGCTACAGGTACTGTTATCGATGCCTTACTACCGGCATAGCATGGTATCCCGTCATCGTATCGTAGTGACACATCCATAGACTGTGCAAACATTTCTCAACCGAGTGCAAAATACTAACCACCACAGATCATTGTTACTACTGCTACGGTGCTGCATACTCGATTCGAGCTCATCCTGCGGGGTGCCGTGCCGTACGAGGAGGTGAGGGGATAAAATTTTCCCCATCAAGAGCCTGGGCTTTCTATCAAATATGAACTTCCCAAGGCGATTGCGCAAGCATGCCGGTTACCCTGTTATTTTACCCACGTCGCGTTCAAGTCAGAAATAAGCACAGAAAGGGTAGAAATCTACAGGGCATATCATATCATTTTCCGCGAAGTGCAGCTATTCCACAGCCTTTCCTCCAGGTCTGGTTTCAAGTTTCCATTGTATCCGTCCCAAACACCACCGCACTCCGCAACCTTATGTTACAACCTTGTCCCCGGCAACTTTTTGTATGTCCTCACAACCCATAGATAGCTAAGCTTAGACTTTTTGAGAGGAAAAAAAAAAAATGGAAGGAGGAAAAGAGAAAAGAAGAACCCCCACCCACTGTTACAGCCTACTTATCACAAACCCACAGCTTCTAGGCAGCTGTTTGAAAGGCGACAGCGTCCGGAAATCTTTCAGATGCCTTTTGATTGTAATCTCTGTTCCCTGCTTTCAGATCCGTCAGGAGAGTTTGACCTTCTATCGCTTCTTTGAGGGTAAGGATTTCGAGGGAGAGGGTATTTGCCAGCTCGTCGGCGATGTTGGCGTCCTCCGGGTTAAGCAAGTGACGGGCTCGGAGAGCTGAGCGCCGATCAAGGTTAGTATAGGATGCACCTCATGAGTAGGAGTAATATAATGCCAACCTCCGCGTACGTGCTCGGGACTGTTTTTGTGCGAATTCAGAAACTCCTCGTTATAGGACTTCAGATCCGTTTCCTTTGGGAGTATGCTCTCCAGCTCCGCTGTCAGAACCTCCCTCGAGGGCCCTTTGATGTCTCCGTCGGCAAGGGAATCCACTAAAGTATCTCTATCAGCAAAACCGCCCGAATAATCTACAGTAGAAACATACCAGTTCGCCTAAACCTGATAGTCTGTTCATGGGCAACAGGGTTTTCTTTTTCGATCTCGCGGGCAGCAATTAAGCACTTAAGGGCAAGCAGCCACTTCTTCCTTCTAAGGTAGACCTCAAACCCAGCACATTGGACCTCAGCCCTTTTAGGACTCAATTCCAAAAGTGGTGTCAGAAATTTCATGGCAACCTCCAGCGGCTCCCTCGTTTGTGCCAGGGCATTCCCAAGAGGATCAGTATCCTCCTTTTTCATTTCACCATCAGCGTTGGAAACTTGTGCATTCTTGGCCTTGTCCTCTTTGGCTTTGGCAGCTAGCTCTACAGCCCTTTCCTGTGCCTTCTGCTGCTCTCTTTTAGCCTTCTTGAGGGCCTTCTTGCGGTCCGCGGGAGACATTCCCTCAAAGTCAGTACCTTCTCCATTCCCATTCGAAAGCAAACTGTGAGCAAGATGCGGCCTGTCGTGAAGCATGATGTACACTTTGATGGCTCCCAAAGCAGCCCTTACGAAAAATGGATGTGAGCGGAGGGTGTCCTCCCATTGTAGCATCGTAATATAAGAGCGTATCTGACCCTTCCGGAGAGAGAAAGAGTGGAAATCGAACTGGTCTTCGGTCCAGTCATCGAAGATTTTCAGAATAGCATGAAACCTCTTAAGTGCAAGCCCAAGATTTCCTTGACGAAGATAGGATTCGCCGTCCTCGGTGATGAACCAAACGCATTGCATCTCCAACAGGTCACCCAACGGACCGCCATGCGCATCATTCTTCACCCCATTCCGCTCTGTTAGAGACTGGATCATCATGGCACTGCTGAGAAATGAGGGTGATGGAAGGAATGACCTACTCGGGTGAAAAGGCTCATGGTCTTCAAAGCATCCTCATTGCGGTCATTACGGAGTTGATACTTGGCGCACTTGGTATTAATATACCTGTCCTTAGTATCCAATTCCCTCGCTTGGTCCATCCGCTCCATAGCCTTTTGGAAATCCCCGGAGTGTTTGTATATCCGTGCCTGGGTCATATGTAGCTCCAGCGTGCCGGGTGAAAGCTCTAGTGCCTGATTAAGGTATTCTGAGGCCTTGGTAGTATTCCTGGTTCGGTAGTGGTCGTAATGTTGGGTGAGGAAGTAAAGAGTCCACAGCTTAAACTCTGACGGCTTCGATTTATCGCCATTGGTTTCACCATTTGTTGGCGCTTCCTCCCCGGCTCCCATGGACGCTAGATAACCCTCCACGAGTCGCAAAATCGTTTCCCGCTTAGCAGCATCTGCATAGAGAGCCTTTATGTTTGCAAAAGTTGATGGGACCCCCTTCTTCAGCAACCTCTGAAGGTATACATCTGCTGCCTGTTTGAAATCCTCCCCTAATCTAACGGTCAGTATATTGGCAGACACAGCTTTGGCAGCATAACCTACCCTCCAGGAAATCCAACGGTATTCTCCGTGGGGCATCGCTCCTGGGATTCTTTTCAGTAAACTCATCGTATACCGCCCTCATTGCCTTTCGGTCCTTGGGATCAATTCCCATTGACTGCTCTAGACCCTTATAATACTCTCTCTTTTCCGAGTTGCGGTTTAGCAATGCCCGGTACGCCTTTTCTGCCTCCTCCCTTCGGTCCAATCGAAGAAGATAATCCGCTCGGTATTCCATCACAGAGATCTTGTCCAATGAAACCTTAGCTATCGATTCCAAGTGCTCCAAGGCCCGGGAGACATCGCCCGATTCAGCGATCACTGCATTCCTATACAAGCACGCCTCGGAGTGTTCGATGTCTCCTTTGCTCGGGGGGTTCTTCAAGGTCTCCTCGTACTTTTTCAGCACATTCTCAGCCTCGACGTAACTTCCGGCAAGGTGATGCGCAACCGCCAACCCCGTCCAGTTCTGTCGGAGCTGCGGGCGCCCCTGAAGGATTTTACCTCGAGATTCCACGTAACCTGGGTAATCTCTCATCTGAACCTGCAATAGCGCTAAATCCCTTAGTATTTGTTGGGATTCCGGCTCGAACCGAAGCGCCATTTTGTATGCCTTGATAGATTCCTCGAAGTTCTTCTCGGACCGGTAGAGCAACCCATAGACATGCCAGCAGACGTGGGACTTCATATCCTGTCGCAGAGCCTCCTTAGCTATTGCGAATGCCTCTTCGGTCCGCCCAAGCGAGTTTGTAATGAGGCCTTTCATGGCGAGAGTTTCCCCATGCTTAGGGTTCTTACGGAGAATTTGCTGATCGCGTGGAGAAAGCGTTAGCAACTGGTGTTAAACAAAACATTTGCCGGAAAAAAAACCCTTTTTTGTACCCACCTCAGCAGCTTTTAAGCCTTTCTTGTATTGTTTTGTTTCGTAACACTTTAGAACCTGTCGAAACAGTGACCCATCCTTTGACGCTAATGGTGCTTGTGGCATTTTAGAGTGTTGACAAAAGTATTCAGAGCTTCGAAGCTGGGCGGCACAAACTGTCAAGACAGGACCTGCAGCGTTTTGGAACGTCAAAAACGTAGGATCCCGAAAGTGGCGGCAGCCTTGTCAAGAGAACGCGAGCAAAATCGATCGAATTGAGCCGATGAGAACTTCAAGCAGGCTAAAACGGCTCCGAAGGGGGTTGACCGAGAATCTCGCTCAAGGAATGGCGGTCCTGGATTGATAGAGGAGGATAGTTCGGGGGAGGGGGTTGTTGAAATTGAGTGAACAGCACTCAACTAGTGCTAGTGTGGGGTTAGGAATCTTTGCCAAGACTAGTGTATGTGTCCACAAGCTATCACTCGGACAACGATGCAACGTCCACATGTAAACCTTACCACAAGGAAAGAAGGAGTGCCATATTTCCTACCATTTCCAAATGTATCAACTCAAAGTAATTTACAAACACAACTAGCCACTCACTACAGCCCGAGGGCCCAGACATCGCACGATAAACTAGTAAGAGCCGCCACCCCCCGCCTCTCGGCGCTCCCTATGGTATATACCAGTACAAGACAGAACCTTCAGAATTTCAAAGAAGAAGGAAGAAAAGAAGGAAAGGGAAAAAATTAACAAAAAAAAAAAAAATGCGCAGACAAGATTCTCTTTTAAACTCCGACCATCATCCAAACTCTTAATGGTACTCTGTTCCCTCTCTCCAAACCACACGAGGCGCTATCATGGTTTGCAAGCGTCTATCATTACCCCTCATCAAAAACACGTGTCCCTATTTAGCTGCACCAGCCGTCTTGCTTTTCAGAACCTCGTTGACAATTCTCTCAACCTCCTATCATACCAATAATCAATCAGTAGGGTGAAATTAGCACCGGAAATCTAGAGGGAACATACGTCTATGTCGTTGGTTGGAACCCGTGTCATGGAAACACCAAAGTAATTGGATATCTCATTCATCTCGGACCAGCTTTGCTTGTCATGAACAAAGCTGATTGATACACCCACGCGCCCGAATCTCCCGGTTCGCCCAATACGATGAAGGTAGGTCTGAGGGTCCGGCCGGCGGTGCTGGTTAAGAGGGATGTCGTAGTTAACCACCATGGATACGGTCGCCACATCAATACCGCGGGCCAAAACATTGGTAGTAATGAGAACTTTAGCCTTCCCGGAACGGAAATCATCAATGACTCTGTCCCTATCCGCGCCTTCCTGTGCGCCGTGGAGCGCAGCAACTTTGTGCCCATCCGCTTCCATTCGCCTCTGAATCTCAGATGCTGTTTCACGTTTCTGGGACAACAGATTAGCTTTCGCACCCATAAAATCAGCTAACAATCAGCGGGTCCATTACCTTGACAAATATGATTGAAGACCCAATTGTCAAAATATGATAGAGCTCAATCAATATCCGATATTTGTCATCTTCACTATCGCAATCCATATAGAGCTGCTTGATTCCATCCACGGTAAGCTCCTCGTGTTTCAGAGTGATCTGGTTCGCGCTTGGAGCGAACCGGTTTGCGTATTGGACAACCTGGTCAGGGAAGGTTGCTGAGAATAGGACAATCTGGGTATCCCCGTGCATATTTCTGGAGGGAAAAATGTTAGACCTTCAGGAGCAGCCAAGGATTATAAACTGCAAAAGGTGGGATCTGACTGTTTCACACGGAGACACTGCTCGCCAAGCCCTTGTTGGTCAAGCATATTATCGGCCTCATCAAGCACAAAAACCTTAAGGTGTTCCACCGGTAACTGTTTTCGCCGAATCAAGTCGAGAACCGTGCCAGGTGTCCCAACGACAATATGCGCGTCAACCCTCTGGCCACGCTGTACCATATTCGGAATGGCAAATTGAGTTTTAATGTCGGTAAATTGACCCATAGTTTGGACAACACTCATAATCTGCCTAGCCAGTTCTCGAGACGGAGCCAAACAGAGTGCTTGAACATTGTTGACGGACGTGTCAACACGAGTCAACATTGTCAGAACGAAGGCGGCCGTTTTCCCAGTTCCGGATTGTGATTGGCCAATCATATTTGTAGGGGGGTCGGACAGGAGGAGGGGGAGTGCTCGTTCTTGGATCTTTGACGGCTTTTTAAAGTTCATGAAATAGACACCCTCCAGCAGCTCCTTGGAACTGTAGCAAGATGAGACAAGAGTCAGTTGCACGAGGGATTGTAGTAGAGCCAACAACCCAAAGCTAAGGAAAACGGATTCAAAAGCGCAAACCATTCACCAACTAACTGGAGGATGAACCAAGTATACACTTACAGTCCTAAATCTTCAAATTTCTTGACGGAATAGAGGGGGCTATTAGGGTCCCCCTGTAGGTCGGCAAGCTTTACAGCGACTTCATATTGAGGCTCATCGAGGCCCGAGCCCTCCACGGCAGGAGGCGTTGTGGTGGAGGTGGATGCTTGATCGGTAGTAACAGCAGTGCCGACGGGGGCTTCAGGTACCGTTCCAATACGAGACTCGAGAGAGGCTGGCTGTTCGGCCATTGTTGGTATTGAAGGCGAGAGAGAATGAGAATGAGTGCAGTGGGCCAGCACAGAAGGGTGGAAAGACGTGAGAAGTCGAGTCAGTGGTGAGGGAAGGGAGAAGGCGGTGGGTGGTGTGAGGAAAGGGAGAAGAAGGCAGTGGGTGGTTTTTAAGTGAAGCGTAGGAGAGATGAGAAGAGGTATGATACTAGACTATTGAGCAACAAGAGGATTAGTCCAGTGACTGCGGGGTTGGTAGACTAAACCTCTCGTGGAGCCGCTCAGGAGAGAAAGGTTTAGCTGTGGCTGGGCAGAGGAGGGAGTCATTAACTTTGAGCGGTAGCGAATTCACGATTGGTCCGAGTCAGATCGCCTTGCGCCACTATTGCGGATGGACTGTTGCCTTGGCCGGACAGGAGTTCATAATGCTATCATATCATACGAGTGCTGTCACTTCATGATGACTAAGTCCCCACGGGAAGGGAATGGGTGACTTGGACTACGGCACGGTACGGCAGACTGCAGTCCTGGTAGACTGTCATAAATTTGCCGTCGACACATGTACTAGTGCTAGTACGGTATGCTTCGGTCGGGTTAGGGTTCAGAAAGGCTAAAACCACTTCCCAGCTTCTCTTTCCCATCCGCCATGCCGGATCCTCGTCCCATTGCGGCACTCCAACCTTTTCCGCAAACCCTCCCCCCACTCCGGCACCCTCCCATCCCAACATCCCTTACCCCAATTACCACTTTCCTCTCTCCCTCCCACAACCTCCATTGCTGTTTATCGTTGGTTGCTGCTCGCCTCTCCCGTGCCTGACTCCGGTAACGTAACTGTTTGTGCATACTGCTGGCTTACGGATATGGATGGTCAACCCTCAGCGGTTAATTTTGGGGAAGAGCTGAAGGTGCGGTTTTCCCTTCTGGAGCTCGTGCCTCCCTGGGCTCCCTATGGCTAATTTCGCTTTTCAGGACGCATTTAAACCTATCAGCGCTTGGGTAATTCGTCCACACCCCACCCACGTCGATTTGCACAGGGGCAAGGCTGACTTACGCAATCTTCGATAGGTAGCCGGTGGGATCGCGTGGCTCGACGATATACAATCATTCTACCGTGAGAGGGCTGTGATAGAGAAGGAGTACGCTGCGAAGCTCAACGCTCTAACAAAAAAATATTTCGAGAAGAAGGCCAAGAGGAGCTCGAGCCTCAGTGTTGGTGATGCACCGCTCATGACTCCGGGCAGCCTAGAAAGGTATCATAGCTCACCGGTCGCGGATATCGGCCCTCCACACCTCTAACTGCTTTCGTGCGACTCTAGTGCCTCGTTGACTACATGGACCACTATTCTCACCGCAACGGAATACGTTTCGAAAGAGCACGACAATTTTGCCGCGTGCCTCTCGGTTAATGTATGCGATTCCCTGAAGTCAATTGCAGCTCGCTACGAAGATTACCGGAAACGCCATGAATCGTTTGCCGCCAAACTGCTGGCGGAAAGGGATTCGGTCTACTCCGATTTGAAAAAGTGCAAGGATTCGTACGATGCGACATGTAGAGTTGTCGAGGAGAAGAGGGCCAAGGTCGACAAAAGTTATGACGCAGCAAAGCCTAAAGCTGAAAAGTCCTACCAAGCACAATTGATCGAAATGAACAATGTGAAGGTGAGTTAAGCCCGCATCCGCTTTGTCCGGCTTTTAATGGCCACCATCGCTCCACTCCATAAAAGCTGTGTTTGGGCTAACTCTATGCTGCTGAACAAGAACGCCTACCTACTACAGATTGCTGTTACAAATAGGCAAAAGCACAAATACTTTCATGAAGACCTCCCGGAACTGATCAACGTACTGCATCCTTCCCTATTGTCAAAAGCGAATGATGTCTAAGCCTCACTAGTCATTGCAAGACCTGAACGAGACCCGTGTCACCAAATTAAATGCCCTCTGGACCTTGAGCAATGAGCTTGACTCAACCTGTCGTAAAAATACAATATTCCATCTTTCAGGAGCTATAGCAAAGATTGCCCGTAATATCCCTGCTTACGACTCTACAATGTTTGCCAAACACAACATGGCAGGTTGGGCCGAGCCGTCCAACTTTGTGTTTGAGCCAAGTCCTATATGGCATGATACAGATGAAATAGTTGTTGATGAGAATGCCAAGGTTTTCTTGAGAAACTTGCTGGGGAAGAGTCGGCGAGGTCTCGAAGATGCAAAGACACATGTTGAGTCTAGACGGAAGGAGATCGGTGAATTAAGGAAGTTAATCGACACTGTCAAGCTTGACGAAAGCAAGATGCAGAGAGAGATTGATGCGACCAGAGTGAGATCCCTCTTGTTAACTTCAACTTGCATGGTTTCAGTTGGGTAGCTAATGCACCCCAGAGCATATTCTACAACTTTGAGGAACTGGCGCCTCATTCAACAAAACTAACAACGCTCCGAGTTGAAATTGAAACCATTTTGGGGGCGGTGGGTGAAATTGAACGTGGAACGCAAACCCACAAGTTCAAAGCCACAACCTTCAAAATCCCGACAAATTGCGACTTCTGCAATGAAACTCTCTGGGGCCTGAAAAGCAAAGGCTTTACTTGTCAGGATTGTGGCTATTCATGCCACAAACACTGCGAGATGAAGGTCCCAGCAGCTTGTCCTGGAGTGTTAGACAAGGCTGCAAAAAAGGCTTTGAAGGAGGAAAAGCGGGCGAGCATGGCTATCGGTGGATCGAACGGGAATGATACGGAACTAAGCCGTAGTAACACCATGAATTCCCTATCCTCTAGTTACTCAGGGGGGAGATTAGGCACCAAATCTTCTGCCAATAAGTTATCAACTGGCGTTAGCCCTAGTACGACAAGCGTCGAATTGGAGGCCGCCCCCGGTATTGCCCCTCCGAGGAGGAATAGGGTCATAGCTCCGCCGCCGGAGCGATATATCTCACCGCCTCCTGAGCCCATAGCGGAGCTCCCAGAGCATGGGAAGCGAGAGAAGGCCGGACGGATGATATATACATATTCAAGGACAGGCGAGGGTGAAATAAGTGCCGAGGCAGGGGCAGATGTAGTTGTCATCGAGCCGGATGATGGGTCAGGATGGGTCACGGTTCGCTCAGGGCATACTGAAGGCCTTGTTCCCGCCACATACATTGATGTTGATCCATCACCCACGGCGCGCCCAAGCAGCGTACACTCTTCCTCCAACGCATCGATAGCGAATTCGACATTCAGCACAGGGAAAAAGAAGGGCCCTGCCGTGAAGCCGAAGCGGGGTGCCAAAAGGGTAAAACACGTTGAAGCCCTATACGACTATGAGGCAAGGAGCGGCGCAGAACATAGCATGATTGAAGGCGACAGGTTTGTGCTGGTCAAGGAAGACGATGGGAATGGATGGGCGGAAGTCGAGAAGGGTGGCATCGTGAAGAGTGTGCCGGCAACATATGTTCAAGTCGTCGAAGGGTAAAGTTAGCTTGCGCAGGAAAGTGTGAATATTTCTTCAAGCGCCTATACAGTGGAAGGGATTTGATTGAGGCAGACTATTTTATGTTCTATTGCGTTGTTTCTACTTTATTTTTTTTCCTTCCCAAGGAGTTGAAGGCGTTAGACGGGTTATTATTGCAAGGGTTTCCCTTCGGCACGATTTGAACTCTTGTTTTTTTTCTTCTTCTTCTTCCTCTTCTTCTTCTTCTTTACAGGCCACTAGATACAGAGTGCAAGCTTGTGTTGTCCGTTTTAATCCAAAATTGCCCACTGTAGCTGTCTATAGGGAGTCAAGTCAAGTTCTGTAAAAAAAATTCTATTATTATTATTGTTTGGGAAATGGGGGGTTTAACGAGGCGTCAAGAAGACAAGATACAGCTGCACTCCCATATTATATAGGCTTTTCCTCCATACCCGTAGTCAGAAGCCCAATAGTGGTGATCGATGAAGCATCAAGCGTTACCTGCAATATTCTATTGCCATCCTGATCACCTATCTTCACCCGTTTAAGCACCTGCCTCCAGAGGTATGCTTCAATCATCTACCCAACCGGTGCGACCTCCCAGGCAAAACATAGGTCCAACACTCCCACCGGAACACAGGGGAAGCTCAGGGAGCATTATCACCCTTTACGTTGCTGAGATTCCGGAGATCGGTAGCCAAGAGTTGGGACCAACCAACTGCGACGCTATCCTGCGGATACCCATCACGTTCCAAATCCGAAGGTACCGAAGTTCTCCACGGCTCTTTAGGCGACGGGGTCAAGATCCGCCTTGTACCCGTCCCGTCAGATGCTAGCAGGAAGGCTGTCGCTCCGGTAAAATCGGTATTGTACTTGTAGACCACCATTGCCAATAGCATCACCCGCCACTGACACCTTGGGTTAGATCACTCCATGGCTGAAACGAGCTTAAAGATGAGCTTAAGGCTGCATCCGTCGGATGTAAGGTTTCTTTGTCCCTGTTTCTAATGTAAGGGGTGCGCACAGTTACCGTTCTGATAGTAGCGCCTGCCATAGAAAAGGCCAAACAAAGGCGTTCTACGAGTGTGATACCGGTATTGCGCTACGGTACGGGTACGGTGCTGGTATGATAATAATATTATTATGATAATTACCAAGAATCCAACATCTCCCATCTAGGTACGGTAGGGTAACCAAGAACCCTCCGGGTGCCGTATGTACGATTCGAGTGATACTACAGAGTACCCACGTGCCAAGCTCCAACAAGAAGGGCACGTGATGTTAACAATGGTGGTTACCCCAGCAACTTGCAAGCTCTCGAAGAACGATATCACCAGACTTCTCCAACCCAAACGCGTGTCTTGGCGAGCCCAACGCGACAACCTACCAACTCGCGACCAAACAAAAGAAAAGGCCTCTCTCAACCGATGCACAACCTCCCCCCCTCCATCCAATCCATCTATCCAAATACCGGTTTCCCCGCCACCCTCCTCCTTCTCCTCCCGCCCCCTCTCAAGTTGTCCTCCCCACCCTGTTTGTTTAGAGCCCGCCAATCATCGACTCATCCCACGCACCATCAAATAAGCACACTCGCTGCTACCTACCTACCTGACTACCTACTCATCCCCCGTCCATCGCATTGCGCCCTCACTCGCAAATCCCCTTCTTTTTTTTTTTTTTTTTTTTTTTCATCATTATTCAAGGGTTTTGGAAATGGCGACAGCCAAAGCCGTTGCGCGCAAGTCCACCGGCGGGAAAACCCCACTAAAGAAGTCCACAAAGACCGCGAAGCGTCCCAGCGGTGTCGGGGCAAAAGGTGAGATCAATGCGCTCGCTGTTTTTTATTTTTATTTTTTTAGAAATCCCAGAACCCAGGAGGTGGCAAGTTTGGCTGACCGGTTTTATGAAAATGACGTACAGCCGGGGACCCGGTCCCCGCAAAGCCCACCGCCCGCCGCTGGAAGCCAGGAACTCGCGCTCTTCGTGAGATCAGACAGTATCAGAAGAGTACAGATTTGCTGATCAGAAAACTGCCGTTCGCTCGCCTTGTAACGTCCCCCCTCCTCCCCGTGTTCTGAATATGGGGGAATTTGTAATTGATGGGATGGGAATATTTTGCATAGGTCCGCGAGATTGCATTAGATTACACTAACGCCGCTCACTTGAGCGGCCTTGGCGGCAGTGGGGTCGACGACCTTCGCTGGCAGTCGACCGCGATACTGGCGCTGCAGGAGGCCGCAGAGGCATACCTTGTTCATCTTTTCGAGGACAGTAATCTTCTGGCTATACACGCCAAACGAGTCACAATCATGCAGAAGGATATTCAACTCGCTAGACGCATCCGAGGTGCTTGGGGTGGGCTGGGCTAGGTCAGTTTAGACGTTTGGCGCATTCGTGGTTATTTTCGTCTCTTCCCTTCCCTTATATTTTGCATACATGCATGGATCGTGGACTGGTGGAGGGGGTTGGGGGGCATTGCAGGCTTTAAGGGTGCAAACCCAAGGGGGATTGTATAAAAAATTTCTTCCTTTTTTTTTCTCTTTTCTTTCCTTCTCCTCTTCTCATATTTTTTGGTCTATATCATTCTCCTTTGGATGGTGTGTGTATGCTTTCGACCCTTGTGTCTGTCTGTTTGTCTGTCTGTTTGTCTGTCCGTCCATCCGTCTGTGAATCGGTTATTCCCCACTTTCATCGAACCGAATCTGATGGGATTAAAAAAAAGGACCCTATTATTTCATTGTCATTCTTGGTTGCTGTTTCGCCATCTTCTGGCACGGCAATTGCTTACCAGTGTTGTGGCCGGATGCGCTGTTCTTTACACATATATCAACTGTCACCAATGGGCTGTACTCGCCAAAATCAAAAGTCTGTCCCCGAGGTATAGCCGCCGGTGGCAACACAGCAATTACTCCGCTCTGACAGCCCCGACGACGGGAGAATTGTGTTGATAGCATTGCCCATAAATAAAATATCACTGGAAAACAGGGTCACTAGTGATGTCTAGAGGTTATGAGAGGTGAGCCCCGTGAGCCCCCAATTTTTACAAGTAGGGTGTGGTTCGGTC